ACAGTGCCTTATTTTCTCACACACATCATACACATTTTTTGCTAGAATCAGCACCCCAAAATTGGGGTGCATGATTTAAGTGGGGATGTTGTTTTCTTCACTGATAAAGGAACACTCCTGGAGACACCCGCATGCCGTTCAGCTGCCAGGACAGCTGCTGCTGCTTCTCTGTTCAGCAAACTGAAAGGGCAGAGTCTTGTGTTAACCCCTCGCGGCCATAGCTTTTGGCTGAGCACTGTAATATGTGCCCGAAGTAGCAAATGAGCTACTGTTAGTATCTGGATGCAGCTTGTGATGTGGAAACAACATTTTATTTATAGGGACTTATATAAAGAATAACTTGCAGTAAAGAAGTGAGAGTTTTGCTATTGCCCTTTGCAAAGATCTGGGACCTAACCTTGTGTAACATACAGGAAATCTTCCCTGAAATGTAGAATGTCCAGGAAGTGTGGCATCATAAAAGATAGTCTGCCATACCAGGAATTTTCTAATGCCACACTTCCTGGACACTTTGGCTGCTTACAGATATAAAAAAAGCCCCAAAACTGTACTTTACTTTAAACTTCCCATGCCCCTGCACCGAGGCCAGCACATACGGAGAAGAGGCTTTGTGTTATTTGGACCCGGTTCACCCAACATCTGTATAGACCAGGCACTTCATTGGGGTTTTTTTGGCACTTTTATCTAATAGCTGATTGAATCAGCTATTAGATAAAAGCTCTAAAAAGCCCTGCCATAATGCCCAAACTATACAGATACTGCATAGCTGGGTCAAATTAAAGTACTGCTGCTTCTGGTAAAGTGCAGGACCTCTTCCCCCCCCCCCCCCCCCCACATCTGTCAGCAGCCTTTATTTCCTAGAGAACTTAATCTATGTCATACAGTTGACCATAAGTCTAAAAAAAAAGTCTTTTTTTTCTACATTCTGCCTTTCAAAAACATGGTGCATGTTTTATTTGGGGTGTGCTCTATGTAAGTAAACAGTGTAACTAAAATCCCCCTCCTGTGTAAACTAGTTCTATGAGACCAATTTTTTGTGTTACTACAGTACTTATAATTATTATATGGTCAGGGAGGGGAGAATTGGTGGTGGAAAGCTGTATTTTCCTCAGTGATTTTGCCAAAGGAGGTAAACAAAGCAAATTTATATTACTTTGGGTTGATGAAGAAACTGGAAAAAAATATCAGTGTTTGCCAGTGGAAAAAAAGTCAAATCAGTTAGGAAAAAAATATTATGCTACAAGCTTCTTTCCCATTATAAAAGAGAAGGCAGTAAAGGAAAACTTCCCCACCACATATTCCCACACCAAACCCATCAGTGGTATATGCTCTCCTCCCATGGAAAAGGCCATAAATATTCATCCTAAATCTTGAGGTCAGGGCTTTGTGTGCAGGGGCCCATCGTCTCCATAGCAGATCTGGTCTGTGGTATTTAAACTCAGGGACAGAGCATCTTCTTTGGTACTGTGCTGTCAGAGTATGGTTACCATATATCCAGGTTTTCCCGGACATGACCTCTTTTTGAGTCCTCCTATCTCTGGGTGGGTTTTTCAAATCTGAGCAAATGTATGGGTTTTTACTTTGTTTTGCTGGTGGGAGCAGGGGGAGGGGCAATTGTAGGCAGGGAGCTGCTCACAGGTAAGTCTGGATTCTGGGGCTGGGGCTGAGGCTGCAGCAGGGCAGGAGGACAAGGGAGGTTGCCTGCCCCCTCCAGCAAGTGGAGAGGGTGAGGGGGTCTTTTGAGGGCCATGGCTGGGCTGGCAGCACAGGACCCAATGCCCATGCTTGTAGGGCCAGGAGATGCTGCAGGGGGCAGGAAAAGGGGGAGGTGGGCCATGGCCAGGCCTCCTGGCATGATGCAGCAACCCCAGCCCAGGATGGAGGGTGTCACAAGCCTCCCTTCCTCTTCCCTCCAGCCTGCACCAGAGCTGGATTCGCTCCAAGCCACCGTGCTCTGGCCTGGTCAGGATGGGGGCAGCTGAGCCCCCTCCAGCAGGGCTGGGGGGAGGAGGGAGCTGCTGGTCGTGAGTGAGGGGAACTAGCATGGCCCAGGGTACTGTGGTTTGGGAGCATAGGTGGTGGAAGTGGGGGGCTAATGGGACTTAGCCCCCCACAAAGGCGGGGCTTTGTTAGGGCCGTAAGGCAACCCAGCCAAGGGCTTCTGACGCAGCAGGGGTGGGGAGGGAGTGGGGCTGGGATTAGGGGAGGGGCAGGTGCTGCACAGCTGGTGGGGCGCAGGAATGATCCATGAGAGGCTCATCCAGGGGATGCAGCTCCTGCTGCTACCCATACCCTGGGAGGCATGAGGAGCATGTGCCCCCAGATCTGCACTGGGCAGGGCAGGGCAGGCTGCTGTTGTGGGCTGAGGCCAGGGCTGCGCTGAGCCGTGCCCGGCCTTGGGGGGTAGTGGGGGACGACAGGCTGGGAAGAGCCCGGCATAGCCTGTGCCCCAGCCCACAGCAGCTCCCTGCCCTGCCCTGTGCAGATCCAGGAACACATGCCCCCTATGTACTCCTGGGATACATGCAGCAGTGGGAGCCACCACCCCCTTCCTGTACCCCCTGGAGAGCAACGATGACTCGGGGCGGGGTGGGCACAGGGGTCCTGGGGACTCTATCCCCTCTGGCCCGGTGGCACAGCTGAGGCTGGCCCGGCTGTAGCCCCCGGCTCTCGGCCCCCCCAGGTCGTGTGGGGCTGGGGCCAGTGTGGGGAGGCAGCCGGGGCCAGTGCAGGGCTGGGGGGTGGTGGATTCATTGGCGCGGAGGGCTCCAGGCAACGGCGCAATGGCAGGCAATGACCCCAGGCATGGGGGAAGGGGTGGCTGCATGGGCACATTGGACCCCATCCCTGATCCTGGGCCCGGCTCAGCTCCACTCCTTAACCAATCCCTGCCTGGTCCCAGGCTCACTCCCTCCCCACTCCCATGGCCCTTTTCTCTCCCCCTGCAGACTTTCCTGCCAGGGGAGGGGTGCGTGTATGTACGTGCCCAGGTCCCCACAAAAAAAAATGTCTCCCTCTGCTTATGTTTGGGAGTGAGGGGCACTGGCAGGGCTTAGATCTGTGGGTTGGGAGTGAAGGACAGCAGCAGGGCTGGAGTTGCTGTGGCTTGGAAGCAAGGGGCAACAGAATGAGCAGGGGCAGGGCACTGCCATATCACTGCCCTCCTACAGTCATATCCCCCCTCCCACCCCACACAACAGATGTCCCCTTTTTTGGAACTGAAAATATGGCAACCCTAAAATGCCCTGATTTTTAAATCTCCTCACAACCTCTTCAGACTAAGCTGTTCAGCAGAAAGAATATATCTTGGTGCAACAGTATCTTCTGGGCAAATATTTAGGACTCTAAGGAGAAAGTTATGTTACTCCTCAGTCTTCCCATTTTCCATTCAAGCTAATCTCATAGTAATGGGCCTGGCAGGTGGAAAGAGAGTATTGCAGAGGCGGCTATATATTGGCCCCTTTTAAATGTATATCTATAGGACACAACTGAGCCAGTATGGTAAGAGAGTAGTGAAAACAATAAAGAATAAATTAAAAGAATAGTATAAACAAAAAACTGACACTATTGGTCTTATAGTTTGGTCTAAGCATAGTAGGTGAGTACCAATTTGTTTGTGACAGGTATGGATGAGGAATATGAAATGGAGTCAATTCATTGTAAAATTAAGGTGTCCCTGGAATACTAAGTCAGATTGCTGATGCTGGCTTTGGTTTGCTTACACACTCTAATCATGTTGAGCAAAAGGTGCACTAGGAAGAAGTACTTACATTTCTATTCATAGCTTGCCAGCCAGGTAAGAAACTTGGTTTTAGATCAGTGGTCTTCAGCCTTTTTAAGTAGATCACCTTTGGCATTTAAAAGCAACCCAAGATCTACCGTGTGCCACCAGCACTCCCCGCCCGGCAGGTAAGTCTGTGGGGAGAGAAGCATGGGGGGAGGGGGGGGCGCAGATCGAGGCAGAGGGAGAAAAAATTATTTGGGGACGTGCCTCCCCAGCAGCTAAGTCCCACCTGGCCAAGACCCTACTCAACTGAACCCTGCTCCTGTCTCTGCAGCATTGTCCTTCATTGCAGGGACCTCGATCTAGCCCCTGCCCCTTCCCTCCCCCACGGATTGACTTGCTGGGCTGGGGCGTGCACATGCACGCAAGTGGGCACTCAGCCTTGGATCAACTCCAAGAGGCTCCGAGATCTACCAGTGGATCGAGATCCACTGGTTGGTGACCACTGTTTTAGATCATGTATGTAACTTTAAATATTTAGAACACTTTTAGGGTCCCCTATCAATAAATTATTTACTGCGTTTGTCATTCATTACAAGGGCAGTTTTAGTATTTTGGCAGCTTTTCATTTGATTACACGGTAAATGTTCTGTTCTGTGTATGCCCTTAATTTTTATTAATATATGTCAATGTTAAAAAACTTAAGATGTAAATTGTTACAATGGGTATAAACAAACTAGATTTTTAATGTTCATTTGTTTCCATACACACCACTGGAGGAATGAGCAGGGGATTTCTTTTTCATTTGTTCCTTGATTAAGAAAATGTTGCTAATGTTGGTACACCTAAAGTAAAAATACAAATATGCAAAAATATTGTAATATAAAACTCTAACTGGGAATAAAAAAAACCCTATAAAATTATTTGGGAACAACCACATGAGGAAACAAGACAAATATTGCACTTTTGTCATGTGCAAGTACCTGGACGTTTTCTATTCATAGTCAGGTAAGTACAATAGTGCTACTAAAGGAAATAGAAATGATTGTTTATTTAGAACAATAATAGTAGGAAAATAATGTATTTTGGGGGAACATTGGAAGTAGGCAGTTCAAAATTGAGAAATAAATTTTTCAGCGTCATTTTTATTGTTTCATGTAATTTTCTTGGTATAAACATGAAACTTTATTTTCACTGTAATAAAATTCTCAAAATAATTAGTAATATCATTTTCAATATTAGTTTTAATAGTGTTTCACTGTTTTTGTGTTCCCAGGAGCTGTAATTGTTTCCACTCCACAAGACATTGCTTTATTGGATGCACGCAAAGGAGCTGAGATGTTTCGAAAAGTCCATGTGCCTGTAAGCCTTTACAAAGAAATACTAATTGTTATTTTCTAATGTGATGTTTCTAAACCCTAGACTCATGTGAATTTATCTGAGGGATCACTTAATTTCAGAATCTTAGGTCAGTAAGGTGCTTAAAAATAATTACAGGGTTGTAGATTGTAGCCGTGTTGGTCTAAGGACATAGGCAGACAAGGGGTGAATCTGATATATTTTATTAGACCAACTTAAATAGTTGGAAAACAATTATTAAGCAAGCTTTCGGGTTCAAAAACCCTTCGTCAGGCTAAGGAAGTTTCAGCAGTTTGTGTGTGCTCTTCCTGGATGGAATGAAAAGTGAAGAAGCCAGAGGCTGGGCTGGTATGCATACAAGACAGGTAGATTGAGGAGTCAATGGGTGAGAGACAGGCTGGGAGGGAGCGGGGCGGGGGGAGAAGGGGGATGAATAGTGGAGAGATACCTGGGGAGTCAGATGTCAGGCGGGTTATAATGTGTCATAAATCCAATGTCTACATTTAGTCCATGGTTTTTAGTATCCAGGAGGTTGATGAAGTGGAGTTCATAGGCTCGTCTGTGGGATGTGTTTTGTAAGTTTCCTTTGAGGATCAGGACTGAGAGATTGGAGAGAAAGTGGTTTTCTTGTGAGAAATGTGCACCCACCGGTAATTGGGTGTTTCTGTCTTTGATAGATTTCTGGTGCGCATTCATTCTGGAGCGCAGTAGTTGTTTGGTCTCTTCTACGTATTTTCCATCAGGGCATTTGGTGCATTGGATGAGATATATTACATTTGTGGAGGTGCAGCTGTAAGATCCAGGAATGCTGATGGCTCTGTTGTGGGGTGTAGTAATTGTGGGGGTGGTAGAGATGTGTTGGCAGGTTTTGCATTTCTTGTCA